AAAAGCCATGAAGCGCCAGGACCAGCCAGGAAGAAAAGCGGGTAGAGAAAAAAAAACAGCAGTCAAGAAATGTTCCAATGAGGGCGTAAACACGTCGTAGCCCTCCAACGCAAGACAAAAATAGAAGTTCCATTTACATCTGTCGCAATCCCTCTGCAAGACGCCGCTTGCCGAACTCCCAGGCGTTCATTAGACCCTGTTCCGATAGGTCGATATTCTTCATATTGGGTGCATCAGCAGCCGGTGCACGGCTGACGCGCGAGGCGATCATAACCGGGTCTGTCTCGAGGATAATTCCGTCGTCGATAGTCTCATCAATGGCCAAGGAGACGAGGTCGTAGTTCTCCACAATAGTGCGCTTGTCGGTTGCGCCCCTGATAAACGATCCTGTTAGCACCTGCCGAGTAAACCCCCCGCTAGGATCAAAATATAACATACTTGAATAAGATTCCCAGAGCATCCCGTATTGACAGCACAACGTTGTAGAGCAGCACCTCATTCTCGTCGGCGCTTCCAACAACGTAAAGCATGACGTCGCTCTCCATCTTGAAGACCACAATGCGGTTATCGTACAGAATGACATCGCTTGCTGATTTGTTGGTCTTCTCGAGGAGACCCTTCTCAAAAGCACGCTGCTCCTTGACAGTGGGGTAGGGGTTGGCACCGGGGTAGTTAGTCGAGTTCGGTGCAGCACCGGCCGGGGGGTGTGGTGCCGAGAAGTACTTTGCGTAGATGCGGGAGCCATCGTCGGTGGACATGACTAGGACCGCATTGACGGAGAAGAGGGACAGTGAGCCAGTCATGGTGATGATTGTCGTGTTGGGTAGCAATTAGGGAAATGCAGTCCTTGTGCTTGTTGATGCTCTCAATCGCCAATCTGGCCGGAGGCGGAGACGCACTAATGTTGTTCCGTCCACAAGCTCCATACACTAGATATATGAACTACGGACCACGGTGTAAGTGATTGAGAAAAACAAATCCAGACTAATCCCCTTTGACCTAATGATAGTACCCAGTCGGCTTCGAGTTATTTGATCTTCAGCTATTTGATGGATGATCGGTGGAATAGTGGCAAATTGATTTGTATGGATATATAACCAGCCATTTGTTGGCCCTTGTCTTCAGTTGAAATACTACAATACTGGAATAAGATATACACCTCAAGATTGGGGATATAACATATAATGAGTGGAAAGACATCATCGTGAAGGAAACATGGGGAAAATAAAAAATCAAGTTAAACAAGTAAACCGTGATGTATCAGACTCCCTTCGAAACCACATCGCATGGGGAAACATCGTGATCAGATCGCGTCAAAAGTACCATGAGAAAATCGGTGTTCTTGAAATACGGGCGAACATTTCAAGACATGAGGTTGCGTTGTGTGCATCCTGAGGAGGGGTGTGTGTATAAATTGTGGCCAAGGACCAGTTTAAGATCACATCAAATCATGCTCCCCAGAGAACATGGCCTACTGCGGCGGCGCTGGTTCATCAGTGTTGGAACGATTTAGCCAAGGAATCCAGCTCGCGCGGTTCGCCCTTTTGCGTGCGGCTTCCTCTTCCTCCTTGATTCGAGCGGTTTCGCTGACAAGGCGTAGAGGGCGTAGCTTATCCTGCTGCATCACTGCTCCAGTGTAGTTGTTCATGCCGCCACTGGATCGAGGAGTGCTGGATGTAGCCCCGGTGGAGCCTGCATCTCCGAGAGGATCGCTTGTGATACTAAGGGAGCTGCTGCGACCGGCCCGCTCTGGCTGGCTGGACATGGAGGGTGCGCGGTTCATGCTGGACATATAGCTGGCTGCTCCGGAGAACATGCTCTGACGGGATCCAGGGCCCATTGCGGCCGGGCTAATAGGTCCGCTGGAGTTGCGTCCGCCGCGGTACATGTGACCAACGACACTCGCGGCACGTGGGTCAACTTGTTCCGAGCGGCTGCGACGGTGGCTGATTCTTACAGACTGCGTACGGAACGGAATACTTGGAGCAGTGATTGGGTTCTCGTTGAGGTTGTTATAAGAATGCTGCGATGGAGGCAGCATGCTGGTTGGACGCGACCGAGGTTGGGTTGAAGAGCGAGAAGTTGGAGTGCCGACAACCGACTTCGCCCGTTCTAGAAAACTTTGCGCCGAACCGTCCTCCTTCTCTGTGGGAGTTGGAGGGAAATCCTTTTCACTGCTCGCGGTCCTGATAGTGGAGGCCTCGTCATTCGAGTCCAAAATGCGCTCAAATCCGTCATGCATAAGCAGTCTGCTGATGATACGCTCTATGTAGAGCGTCAAAGCTTTGTTCTGATCTTTGAGAGCCTTCAACTCCCCGTCTGGTTGAGCGGTATCGACTTCAGCCGACTCATCCACAGATTCAAGCTCATCGGCTAAAGACCCCAGTCCACTTGCCGACTCCTTTGTGGGGTTGGCATCACGCATGAACTCGCCCTTGGCGAAGTCTCCGGTAAGGGTCTTTTCACTGAGCAGAAGTTGATAGCTTTCATTGTCTTCCATCAAGCGAGCGTTGGTCACGCGGGCCTCGAGCAATTCTTTCTCTAATTCTCGCTGACGGCCACCACCGGCGTTCTCCATCTCGACAAGTTTGATCTGTGATTCGGCCAGTTCGAGGCGCAATGACTCAATGAGTTTGTCCTTCTGGAGGAGAAGAGTGGAGTTGTTGCGGGACGGGCTCCGCTCTATGTGGGAGGAGGGTGCAAATTGGCCATCCACGTCAGGGGAAGATCGATTGCGGAAGCTCGCTATATCGGAGGTCAGTCTCTGAATCTAATCGCCAGCGTTTGTAGGAGCAGGGTGCCCTACAAGATCGGGAGACTTGGCTGCGATCCCCTTCTGCGTTCATGCGCTCCTTCTGTGCCATCGAGTCCTTCAGGCGTTGAATAGTCGCTTGCATCTCTTCCTCCCGACTAGTCTGTTGTTCTTTCTCTTGAAGCATAGCGTTCCGCTCTGACTCGTGGTTTTGTTCCAGATCCCGGATCTGACGACCCTGGTCCCGAATGTCACTGTTCAGGGCCTCGATCCGACTGTCTCGCTCATGTGCCTGGTCCTCTAGCTTAGCTTGTTCACTGATCGCCTCGTCGAGGCGCATTTGCAGAACGCCGAGCTGTTTTTGGTATTGTTCAGAGGCATCTTCGGCCTTTTGAAGTTGTTCCCGCAGTTCCTCGATGAGGGCGGCATTCTGAGCCCACGCCTCTTCCTCGGAGGGGTCGTTCGAAACTCGTGGAACGTTTGGCATGCTGAGGTTGGAACGGGCTGGTTTTCTTACAGCTGCGCGCGCGGAGACAGGAGTCGAACCTCTTGAGGAGGGGGGACGGCTGGGACTGTTGGTTGCGCTGGGCGTGTGTGCATGCCCTCGTGTGGACCCGTTGTCGGAGTGCGGATCTGCGGTTGGTGATTTGCTGGAACTGCCGGGAGTTCCAGGCTTTCGAGGTGTTGCTGACATGTTAAATAGGCCCAACTCCGGCGCTGTTAATATATAAGAAAATTAATTGTATCAAGCCCCTGACTAGACTTCAATTGGGGAAGGGAAAAGAAGATTCCAGGGTTGCAAGTGTAATAAGAGCGGTCAAAACCTAGTGGACACCTTGTGGAGAGCGCTTGTATGGGAAGACCAGCCAGGAATGTGGTTCAAAGCTGTCACAGGCTGATTGCGTGCCACATGGTTGATCGGAGTTGGAGATCCATCGGAAACAGTGGCATGAAAGTCGGAATGAGAAAGAAATTGAGAAAAGTGATGGTTGCAGACTTTAGGTCAAGTTGTCTTGTTAGGGACTGCGGATCCCTTACCTACTCCTTAGGTACTTCGTACTGTATGTAAAAAAAAACACGCAACGGCTTTGCACATGTGGGGGGCTGGGGCAATTTGAGAGAATAAGGACTCTCTAGAAGGGACAGGAGATAACCGAGAAGGTTGCTGAAATAAGAAGGTTGTGGAACTTGGATTAATTATTCCACAGGAGTTGAACTTTTAGGATCACTTGGTGATCTGGCGAACCCATGAAAGTACGCCGTTTTCGAAAAGGAGACATATGCCTCAGGCGTTGTTTCGGAACATTGTACTTCCTTCTCCACACTTAACTGAGATCTCCATACTTTCTACGGAGTACGGAGCACAAGTCACCGTACTCTGCACTCCGTACTAACGGAGTACAACCAGCATGCACTTCCATCTAGGTGCTGACTATAAAATGGAGTTCCCAAGAAACTGAAGCCTAAATTGGACCTCCAATATGCACATAGTCTCGGCATTGCATCTCTATCATCAGGCACGGCGGCCCAATGTGTGACATTACGTCGACTGCTCAATTACAGAGGTTTACCCTGATGATAAAGACCATCCATTCTCTCTGAGTGTCACGCTTATCTTCCTGAGAACTGTGCACTAAGGCCCTAAACTGGTCATGGTCGCTGCTATCAGCCCCAGCTCGAGCACGGAGTCTGGAGCACTCCTTACGGATCCATGCAGTGCCCGCCAAGACCCTTAGGGCGTCACCTCTCGGGCAACTGCACAAGTCAGCTTCTTTGTGATCGCGTTAACATCGAACACCAAGGGCTACTAATCGCAACGGACAACACCTCAAGGTGGATGTCGACTGCGCCACGTACCTCTCGATGGAGCAGAAGTTCATAAAAAAGAACTGATGGACCACATGACCTGTGCACCTTCAGACCCCTAGCGGTCGGCGGAAGGGATTAGATAAATTACGGTACTCTTGTGTATCTCTAACATCCAAAACACACAATACACATGAGTTTACCCAATCAAGTGGCTTCACAACTGTAATTCTCGTGATGGATCCCCCCAAAGTTCCGTGAAAACCGAAAAGACATCATTTATTTCACGTCGGATCAGACGATTTTGCAATCAAATTCCTTCTTGACATGGAACATGTTCCCAACGCCTGCGCGCGATTTTTGATTAAATTTGCCGTGAATGCCGAAAGCCAATCCGTGGGAACGAGAGTGGAATGGCCCTGTAAAACACTTGAATATATTTCTAAGCAACTGTGTCCTTAACTAGATCAACATCAGCACCCCATGGCACATTGCCCACGAAGGCCTTCTGGTTCTGATTGCCTGGTTGCTCCGCATCAAAGTCCAAACGATCTGGGATCTTCAACCCAGCTGGGAAATGGTATCTCACAAACCACGTCGAGACCCCGTCCCGATACAGCCAAGGGTCCTCTGTCCGACGCTGCCATGTTTCCAATTTGGTTCTCAAATCTTCGAGCACAGCAGCATGTTCCGGGTCTTTGACAAGATTATTAACCTCATTTGGATCGTTCTGCAAATCATACAGCTCTTCTGGTGCGCGGAAGAAGAAATCCTTGAGTTTTCTTTCCCCAATCTTAATCTCGCTATCTGGTGAGTTTCGAATATCTTCCCAAGAAAGAGACCCGTAGATGTCAGCGGCAAATGGGAAGTCTAAGCGCCATGCGAGGTTTCGATGGTATTTGTATCGTCGATCCCGAATGAATCTCGTCGGCCAGTAGTTCGTGACCTCGTGGAAAGTATGCGAGCCGAATACTTGGTTCCACTCTGATGTCTTAGCGCCGGTTCCAAGGATAGGAAGCAACGAGCGTCCAAGGCGCTTCTTCGCTGGGTCCACGGCACCTGGATGCCCGACATAATCCAGCAGGGTGGGGAGGATGTCGACGTAGGAGACCATGTCCGAATTGGCCGCGGGCTGGACTTTTGGATGTTTGATGATAAGAGGCAATCGCACTCCAGCATCGAAAAGAGTTGTTTTCGAGTTGATAAAAGGTGGGCCGTTGTCGCTGATAAAGATGACGAGGGTTGATTCAGCCAAGCCAGCCTTTTCGAGGGCATTCAGAACAAACCCGATGCCCTGGTCCAGGCGGTGGATCGAATTATAGTATTCAGCCAACTCGAACCGGGCACCGGGAGAGTCGTTGATAAAGGGTGGAATCTCGACATTATCAGTAGTGTAGGAGCCTTTCTTGATGCGAGGGTCGTATTCTTCATCGTTGCCAAATCCACCCCGTGTGCGATCGCGATGGGGATCATGGAAACCAATCGTCAAGAAAAAAGGTCTTTCATCGACCAGAGACTCTTGAAAGAAGTCATTGGCTTGATCGGCGATCACAGCGACATCCCTCGTTACACTCTCCTTGGAGACCTCCCAGGGATAGACTGGCGCCGGTCCGACATGAATCTTTCCGAGGATCCCAGTTCGATATCCGCTTTGATTCAATAGCTGTGGTGCAGTTTCCACATGATCGAACGTGACAAAATGATGGCGGTGACTGGCAAGTCCGTACTGGCCGTTCTGGTGAGTATGCAGGCCGGTGTAGATCACGGAGCGGCTGCCGCTGCAGGAGGCGGTGCTTGCAAAGGCATAGTCAAACTTGGTACCCTCTGCAGCTAGACTGTCGATATGGGGTGTCTTGATGGTTGATGCGCCGTAACAACCAAGTTGCTTGCCAAGATCATCGGCGATCATCAACAGCACATTCTTTCTTCCTGACATGATGATTCGGGTAAAATCGAGCAAAAGCTTGCTGCGCAGGGACTTTGACAAATGCGTGAAGAGAGGAAATCTACCGAATCGAAAGAGATTCTCTTTATCACTGGTGGATTTACCCAATTTGGAACTAGCTCGTCTTGGGCGTCGTGATCTGACAGCAAGATGATGTGCTTGATATCACATGCCCGTACTCTACGCCACCAAGGCTTAGCGCCTCGAAGACTTTGATCAAATTAATTAAAAATGTTGTCATCTGCTGAAATCTGTAGCAATCATGCCTCCCACAATCCCTTATTCTACAGAGATAAACTACCTACAGCCCGTGAATAAATCCCGCAAATCACGGTACAATTGGACTGAATGATTTGAGTGGATGTTTTGTCTCAGTTTTCAATGCCGAATCGCGATTCTAGTGGATGGAGAAATTATGGCGTCTTTAATTAAAGATATTGATCAAAGGGGGCCTAAAGACCCTATACAGACAGATTGCGAGACAGATTGCGTTGAAAATAAGTTGAGCTATAACTCGCTCGCTGAGTAGAAATAGAACAATATAGAACCAAGAGTGAACAGAAATTGAACTCCACCTAATCATCACTTCACGATGAAGTTCGCCGGTTTACTCTTGCTTCCGTTGTTGCGCATTGCCGCAGGCCAACTTAATGGCCCCGTTGGTCCAACAACCAACCTCCAAGAGAAAACGTTTGAATGCAACGTTCTTGATTATGGTGCTGTAGCCGATAACAAGACTGATATCTCTACTGCGCTGGAGACCGCTTTCTCAGACTGTGTTCTCAAACATCCGGGCAGCCGACTCATTGTACCCGAAGGAGAGTATCTCATCGAGCGAGGTGTGACTCTCCTTAATGGTACCAATTGGGCATTCCAATTGGATGGCCTGATTACAGCTGCATACGGCGGCAACTGGAATATTGCACGTGAGTTGCTACTCCAAGGGTTTGCCGGCACAGAGATCATCAATGCCACTATCAATGGGGAGGGTGATAATAAATTCTTACTAGATGTGCTCGTCATTGTCAACGGTGAGTTGACCTCTGCAGATGTTCTCCTTGGAGCTTGATATTAATACAACAACAGCTGTGGATTTCGAGTTCTATTCGTCCAATGGCAAAGGGGCCTTCCAAGGACAGGGTTATCTCTACCGAAATCTTGGAAAGTAAGCGATGGACCATTTCTACAAATCCTGTGGAATTTTGTTAGGCTTACATGACACGATAGCACGGATCGCCCACGCCTGGTGCGTTTGATCTCGCCGACCAATGCATCCGTCCATGACTTGATTCTTGTCGACAGCCCCAAGTTCCACATAATCTTTGACTTTGCTATCAACGTTGAGGCCTATCATTTGACAATTCGAGGAGCAAACCTGGGTAGTTATGATGGGATTGATGCCATTGGATCCAACTATTGGATCCACGACAATGAGGTATGCGTATCAAGTCCTGATCTCCAGGTTTCACCCAAGCTAACTGTAATTGTAGGTTACCAATCGTGACGAGTGTGTTTCGGTGAAAAGTCCATCTCACCATGCCTTGATTGAAAACTTGGTGTGCAATCAAGCAGGCTCTGGTATCTCCATCGGCAGTCTGAATACGTCTGCCGAGATCTCAAATATCGTCAGTTCTAACCACATGCGGATGTCCATGAAGTGCTAACATTGCAGTAGGTAGCACGCAACATCAGCATCATCCAAGGTAACAACGTTGCTTTCATCAAGACATATCCTGGTGGATCCGGCTACGTCACAAACATCACCTTTGAGAATTTCCGCTCTTTGGGAAGTCTTTATGGCTTGGATATCAACCAGTACTGGCAGAATGTCTTTGAGCCCGACACTGGTGCGGTGGCGTTAAGCAACCTGGTTTTCCGCAATTTCTCTGGTAAGTTGTGGACAAAATGTTACATCTGGCGATTTTCTAATGCAAATTTCCTCAGGCTCGGTTGCCGATGGAACGAAACGTCCTCCCCTTTATCTCGTTGCGAATGATCTCACATTTGCTACCAATGTCACTGTCGAAGATTTCTCATTGTGGACAGAATCGGGTACTCAGGTTGTAAACAAGATCAGCAATATCTTTGGCGTTGGAGATAACAGCTACGGGCCAAGCAATGGTATCAAATCTCTCGGTGCGGGAGAATCCCCTTCTCCTTATTCCAGCACCTACACTCTTACAGCCACCCCAACTGGGTGGAAGGCCCCCGCGACTCCTACTTGGGCTGTGCCCAGTACAGGTTATGGAAGTAAGCTTTTCCCCATTTCTTTTTTCTTTTTTTCTTTTTTGCACCTTTTACACCAGGTCACTAACTTGTACAGCCGCGTCCCCCATTCCTGTTTACAGCCCCGCTCCTCTGTGGCGCCCAGGTGGTGTGGATTACGACTTGCACTATTGGGGAAGCTTCTAAGCGACAACTTATCGCTGGAGAAGGTCTAGTATATGCTGATATACTGATGAGCACCATGCTCCCTAGCATCGCGGCAATCTTTGGCATGTGTGATGTGGTTAGTAGGGGTTGACATGTGCTGCAGAGGTGATTAGCTTTTAGTTGAGTGCAAGTAAAAGAAGAGGGTATCAAATGTTAAATTAATCCGTGAGAAAGACAACACACCCTCCCAAAGCTTAAAGATGCCATCTTGGATTTATTTTCTCTACCTTTTGATGGTGGAATTTAGTATTTGAAGAGGCCAAGACATGTCGTCAGCCCTACCATCAGATTCCTAGTCAGGGACTAATTTTCAAGCCTCCAGTACACACAGTATGAAGCTTATTAGATCCAAGACCCCTTCAGATGGCGTCAGCAAACCGATATTTTGACGCCAGCGCTTGTGCCATGTGGGAAATCAACCGTTCGGTCAGGCGAACACGACTTGTGAGTATCGAGATTGACAGTGATGTTAGGACCCTCAGTTCTAGAAATCGCAGAAGTTAGATATATTATTGTAAGACAATTTTTTCCACCAATCTGGGCCACTACGATGTTAAGATTCCCACCTTTAATTAACTGGATTGGATGAAGACTGATGCAATCAGGCGCGATCATGGCGTAAATATCGGCTAAGATGCAAGGCTTGTTCTCATTCACCAAGACATCGTATCTTTTTGATAGCTCTTGGAAGTTTTCTTGGAACTGACCAGGCAGGCGTTCTTTAGACCGTTATAGCGTCCTTTTCAAAAATGCTAGGATGAATTCGCCATTCCTCCCTAAGGAGTCATTCCGTTCGTTGGCGTCGATGGCATCATGCACGTGCTCGAGCACGAATTTTGGGCGGCCATTCAATCTGTAGTATTGAGGTTTTTTTATCACTTCACCTGATATATAAATCGTTTGATCTCAAAATCAATGAATAGCATTCAACCCAGTGCCGAAACTACAGTTTGGCATCCTTCTTGGTCTTGGTCTTGATTTTGGACATACACCAAAGACAGCCATGGCATCGACACTGTCCAAAGATCTTGGATCAGATTTTGAGCCTCAGAACGACATTCATCATGATAAAAATGGTTCTGTCGTGACAACCCTAGCCGAGCCAGAGGAAGAACGGGAGTCCCAGTCGCTGTTCTCTGCACTTTTCTCTCGGAGACGAAAAGTTGACCCGAATTCCATTGCCACAGTTCGAAGTGTGTTTGATGATCCCCTGCTGGCGCAATATTACCAGCCTCGTCCGGACTACGAGAATCTACACAGATTCGATCCGGACGAAAGATGGACTCACCGTGAGGAAGTCTCGGTGCGCCGCAAGACCGATTGGAAGATTCTGTTGTGGATCCTGATCATGTTCTTTGGACTCAACCTCGATCGGGGTAATCTGGGAAGTGCCGCGGCTGATAACCTCCTCGACGATCTGAAGATCACCACCAACGACTACAACAACGCGCAAAACATGTACCGTGTCGGCTTCCTAATTGCTGAGATCCCGTCTCAGATGCTTGGAAAGAGATTGGGGCCAGACCGTTGGATTCCTTTCCAGATCATCTTGTGGAGTTTGGCATCCGGTGGCCAGTTCTTTATGCAGGGTCGCTCTGGCTTCTTTGCTTGTCGCTTCTTCATCGGCCTCTTCATGGGTGGCTTCATCCCAGATGCAATCTTGTATCTTTCATACTTCTACACCAAAACCGAGATGCCATTCCGTCTCGCATTGTTTTGGTTCACTGATTCCATGTCAGGTGTGGTAGCCTCATTTATCGCGTATGGTGTTCTGCACATGCGCGGTGTGGATGGCCGCGAAGGTTGGCGATGGCTGTTCCTCATCGAGGCACTCATTAGTATCATGATAGGATTCCTCAGTTTCTTATTCTTGATACCTGGTCCTACCCAGACAAAGACTTGGTGGAACCCTAAGGGCTATTTCACCGAAAGGGAAGAGAAGATCATTGTGAACAGGGTGTTGCGAGATGATCCGTCCAAGGGCGACATGCACAATCGCCAGGCCATTTCTCTCAAGATGTTGTGGAAAAGCTTGATGGACTACGATCTGTGGCCGATTTACGTCATTGGAATGCTTTTCGAAATACCTACTTCGCCACCCAAGAGTTATCTCACGCTTTCACTTAAAGCGATTGGATTTAACACTTTCGAGACCACTTTGTTGACAATTCCTGTCACTGTTTTTGCCTCCATCAATTTGCTGCTTATAACTGAGCTGTCTGAGCGTTTGCAACAAGTCTCCCTCGTCGGGCTTGTCCCTCAGCTATGGAGTTTCCCACTTCTCATCGTCCTTTACACATCAAGTGGATCACTGTCACACTGGAGCATGTATGCGGTTTCGTTCATCCTGGTTGGCTGGCCAAACCCGCAAGCAACGCACGTTGGATGGTGCTCACGCCTAAGTGGTACGGTGCGAACTCGAAGTGTCAGTGCAGCGCTGTTCAATGTGACCATTCAACTTTCTGGCATTGCATCCTCCAACATTTACCGCAAAGATGACAAACCACTCTACCGACGTGGAAACAGGCAACTCATCGCTATCAACGTCGCTACTATGG